TCCCTCTCTCTCTCCCTCACTCTCTCCCTCTCTCTCTGTCCCTCACTCTCTCCCTCTCTCTCCCTCTCTCTCTCTCTCTCTCTCTCTCGCTCGCTCTCGCTCTCTCTCTCATTAATAATTATTTTATCTAACAATGTATCTGTCAGACTCAAGGTCCAATAGCAGATATACAACACACTCAGACTAGATGCAATAGGTAAGCAACTAGCTTACTAACTATTTATAAGCAGCACATTAGGAGTTATTGAGGCTAGAGTCAGAGTTAATAATGAGAATTGGACCTTAAAATAAAGTGTGATTATACAATACACACAATAAAAAATAAACAGGTTGAAATACATTTTTGTAATTTTTGTATAAATTCCAGATCAATATGTATGCATGATTCTAGTCTATAATTGTCTTGGGTACGAATGTTCTAATGAGACACGAATGAATAATGTTAATGACGTATTAATGGAAGTCATTATGAAGTATTACCAACACATACAGTTTATGGAAGTGATCTAAACAGCTGCTGTCCAAACACAGCTGATGAGAGCGGTGCCAGTAATATCACAGACAATTCTTCATGAAAAAACAAACACAGCAGGACAAGAACAGGAAAGAAAAAAATAAGGATTGTGATGGAGAAATAGATAGTGTCATGCAGAGGTCAAGATCTTATTAAGAAGACATTTGTGCTGCTTGCAAAGACTGTGATGTTACTTTTATACCCAAACATGATCCCCTCTCCTATTACCAATTCACCTGCTTATTGTGAACTGTTTCAAAACTGTTTAACTTGGATATTCTATAACCTTTTCACTTTTATTTTGCCTCTGCTCTGTCCCAACTTTATTAAGAAGACATTTGTGCTGCTTGCAGGTTGTTGACAAAGGTACAGGAAGAGAAACTTTACTGTGTGTGTGTGTGTGTGTGTGTGTGTGTGTGTGTGTGTGTGTGAGACAAATAAACATACACTCTAAGAAAATATGTAAAAGGCCCAATGTACAGTATTACCATGAATTAATTTTTTGTATTGATTTAACGGAAATGTATGTGTAATTTTTTTTTTTTTTGCAAGGACATTATCCTTTTTTCTATGGATCTTTTCTTACAATAAAACAAAAGAGTTTACGGACACATTTACAACGTTTCTTAAAATGCCTTTTCATTATGGTAACTTCTGCTGTATTTCAATGATTAAAAGAACACTGAAACATAACAATACAATCAAAACATAGAATGTTAATTCTGCTGTCCCCTCTTTTTTCCATTGATCGAGTAGCTCACATAGATGCTGACGTTTATTTCCTTGCAGGAACATTTTACGATGTCTACCTCCCCCTGGTGGGTAGATATGATATTATATTTTCAGTTATATACTCAGAAATGTGTCCAGTCAATACAAAGGGGCACGACACATGAACAAACATTGTGAACAGATAAAATGCTTGGAACATTTGTGTAAATACACAAATGCAATTTCTTTTTGTGCAAATACACACACACACACACACACACACACACAGTTTACGGACACATTTACAACGTTTCTTAAAATGCCTTTTCATTATGGTAACTTCTGCTGTATTTCAATGATTAAAAGAACACTGAAACATAACAATACAATCAAAACATAGAATGTTAATTCTGCTGTCCCCTCTTTTTTCCATTGATCGAGTAGCTCACATAGATGCTGACGTTTATTTCCTTGCAGGAACATTTTACGATGTCTACCTCCCCCTGGTGGGTAGATATGATATTATATTTTCAGTTATATACTCAGAAATGTGTCCAGTCAATACAAAGGGGCACGACACATGAACAAACATTGTGAACAGATAAAATGCTTGGAACATTTGTGTAAATACACAAATGCAATTTCTTTTTGTGCAAATACACACACACACACACACACACACACACACACACACACACAAAACCTTTTATTAAGATTTACGCAATTTAATTAATAGTAAAATTCCATCAAATTGAATTGAATAATCCTGACGTACTTTAATTGAATAATTGAACAATCCTTAATCAATTATTCAATTGAAATACGAATTATTTAATTCAATTCGATTTTATATGTGTGTTTATACAGTTGTTTACATTCAGAATCTGCAAAATGTGCCCTGTCCTGACTAAGCTATTTGACGTAATGGGTGTTTACACGCAGTTCACAAGATAAAATAACAGCTGAATATCTCAATACTTTGTGTTGTTGCCTGGATCATTGACTGCTTCTGTGTTGGTTGTTCAAGAGTCCCTTGTTTGTCCTGAGCTGTTCTGCCCACTCTTCTTAAGAGATATCTTCCAGGTCCTGCACATTCTCAGGTTTTCCAGCATCTTCTGAATATTTGACCTCTATCCAACGGTGGCTATATGATTTTGAGATCCGTCTTTTCAATTGATGGACTTATACACAACTATAACAAAAGGTGCAAAAAAAAAAAAAAAAAGCAACAAACTAAGGAGATGTAAACTTTTGAACAGGATGGTCAGTGTAAATTTGTATTATTTAAATATATTTTCTATTTAATATATTTAAATATTATTTAAATGTATTTATTATATTAAATATTATTTTTAGTTAGTAGGATACTGTCCTTTAGAAGCTTTAAAGACAAAATAATAACAATTCATGTCGATCATTCTGCTAAAAAATGTACAAACGTTTTTATTCTGATTTAACATGAACCAGGACACGCATGGATATTCAAATATTTCAGAACACCAGAACCTTACTAGACTATGAAAGCCTGAAAAATATATATATATTAATAATTATCTAAATTCTGACTTTTTTCTCACATTTCTGACATTTTTTTCTCAGAATTGCGCGTTTCTATCACGCAATTCTGAGAAAAAAGTCAGAAATGCGAGAAAAAAAGTCAGAATTGTGAGATAAAGAGCCACAATAAAGTAAGAATAAAGTAAGAATTGTTAAATATAAACTCGCAATTGCAAGAAAAAAAGAGTCAGACTTGCGAGATATAAGGGGCAATTCTGAGAAATAAAGTCAGAATTGTGAGATATAAACTCGCAGTTGCGAGGAAAAAAGCGTCAGAATTGCGAGATATAAGGGGCAATTCTGAGAAATAAAGTCAGAATTGTGAGATATAAACTCGCAGTTGCGAGGAAAAAAGAGTCAGAATTGCGAGATATAAGGGGCAATTCTGAGAAATAAAGTCAGAATTGCGAGATTTTAACTCGTAATTCTGAAAAAAGTCAGAATGTGAGATATAAGGGTGCAAATCTGATAAGTCAGAATTGTAGATATAAACTCACAATTTTACTTTTTTTCTCAGAAATTTGAGTATCTCGCAAGATATAAACCCGCAATTGTAAGAAAATAGTCAGTCTTCCCCGTCAGAATCTCCACTCAGAATTGCGGGAAAAAAACGCAGAGTTGCGAGTTTACATCTTGCAATTCTGACTTTATTTCTCACAACTGCGAGTTTATATCTCACAATTCTGAGTTTGTTTCTCGAGTTTATTTCACACAATTTTGAGGGGGAAAAAAAGTCAGAATTACGAGATGTAAACTCCCAACTGTGAGAAAAAAAAGTCACAATTCCCTTTTTATTTGTTATTGAGTGGCAGAAACGGCCTTCCATACTAGACAACTTATCAAGCATATGTATACTCTGTTTTCATGTTTCACAGAGATGGAGAAAAGCTGTGTGTGAGCCAAAGGTTTTACATCCGTCTTCAACTGGATGAGTTCCTCCGTTTTTAAGATTTGAATGAACTGGCAAAGCTTGTGGCATTCAATGTATAAAGCGCTTGCCATACAGCGGCGTCACCGCGCTTTGCCTTCGCCGTAGTAGATTCGCAGTAGATTCTATTCGGTAGTTGCTTTGGTAACTCACGTAAACGAATGGCGTCCATGATGAGCTTTTAATCGTTTGAACGTCTGATGATTAAATGCTATATCTAAAACCAGCATGTATGTTTGCATATTAATGAATGATCGCATTTAAACAGTCGATAAGATGGATGATGAGCCGTTTTCTACAACGCTTGCTTACACGAAAAGCCCTAAAACATCCAGAAGAACAACTTTTCAGGTATTGGTATCAAATCATTAGCGTGCTCCAAAGTAAAGCATTTCTTTATATTGTCAGACACATCGGGCTCTGTCTCAAATCGTAGTGAGCCGCAAAAATACTCTCTATGACACGTGCATGTTGTTCAATTTCAGGATGAGCTAAAGACAGCTGTGTCTGCTAGAGCCAACAGGCATAGTTACTCTGATGACTTTGATGATGAAGATGGTAAAGTTGATGATGATGATGGTTGGATTTACAATGTCATGCTTGTTTAATACATCTTCACTGCATGGTATACTGATGATAATCATGCCACTGACCTTACCCTGAATCAGCTTGTTTATCCTCTTATATAACATGATTTGTATGCATGCACACATTCCACTGTGTTCTTTACCTTTATACTTGAATTCAGCAGACATACTCAACGAACTCCTTAAGAAGCAAAAACAGAAGAAGGAGAGATTTAAAGCTGGAAAGACCAAAGGCAAAATCAACGATTTCAAGCTTTCGGGTGATGAAGAGGAAAATGTCAAACCCAAAAAAGTATCTTTTCTGAAAACCAAAAGGACCAGCTCACCTGTGAACTCCGAACAGCTAAACTCCATGAAAAGTGAAGATGACCAGCATAGTTCTGTCCATTCGCAAAGCAATTCTTACAATCTGCAGTCGGATTCCCCTTTTTCCTCTCTATCTGACAAGTTCCTACCAGAGTCCGCGTTACCTTACGAACAGTCCAAATCAGTCATGCATTCGAGGAACCAGACCGAATCTGTGGTGAGGAAGAGCCTGACAGAATCTCCACTGCTACTAAACTCTGAGAACAGCCAATGGGAATCCTGTCCAGAGCCATTGCCTTCAGAAAAAGATGAGGACAACCAAAGGATTGGTGAAGATAGTGAACCACCCGTTCCTCAACCCAGGGAGAGAAGCGTTAAACCAAAACTCTCCACAGGTCAGGGCAGTCTTTGCATCTATGCTATTGTTTAAGGTCTGCCATCTTTGCAAGACCAATTATCAAATAACACTAGTTTGTGTTTGTACACTGCCTGGCCGTTTGGATTTAAATAAGCAAAATACTGAAGAGTCTAGGATTGGATCATTATTGCAATGTGATGCAATGTGTAGCTTTTTATTTCTCAAACATCCGTGTCGGAAGACGTACCCATGAACATATCCCAGGATGACGATGCCAAGATTCATCAGGCTCAAATTGTGAAACGGTGGTTCAGTGAGCATAAAGAATCATTTTCATGTAAGAAAAGGCACCACAGAGTCCTGAGCTGTTCGACTCTCCCAGTGTCAATACAAGATCTCAGCCAAAAATCAATGCAACTCTTGATGGAAATAAATACTGTCATGTTGCATGACCAGTGTTGGGAAAAGTTACTTTTAAAAGTAATGCATTACAATATTGTGTTACTCCATAAAAAAGTAACGGATCACGTTACTTAGTTATTTTTATGGAAAGTAATGCGTTACGTTACTTTTGCGTTACTTGTTAAATCTGGACAGGGCTTGCTTGTTTGTTTTTAAAATAAAAAAGTTATATTTCTGGCAAATATAAAAGCCCTTTCACACCAAAAGTGAAATGAATAAGCCTCAGGATGAAGGGAAAGTACAGTAGAATACAGAAGAAGAAATTTCAACACACTTCAGCAATAAAAAAAGACACAAATGTTTGTCTAGAGTAATTTGTGCTTATTAGTACGGTTGAACTGGATCATCGAAGGTCAGAAGCAAAGACATTGGTTAATAGAACGGGATTAAATACATAAAGCATATTTGTGTTGTTTAACATTTAATTATTGCAGGTTTGCGTCATATTCTGAGTTGCATTATTTTTATTCATTTTGAGGAATACTGAATCTGTTTTTTTTGTTTTTTTGTGAGTGAGATGAATTAATGCATATTCATATTTATTTTAGAACTACAGTAACATCTTCTGATTTCTCTCAACATGGGGACAGGAGAGCTGTCAATCAATAAATTGGAAAAAAAAGTAACTTGCGTTACTTATTTGAAAAAGTAACTCCGATATTCTCTTCTAAATTAAAAAGTAATGTGTTACTTTACTAGTTACTTGAAAAAAGTAATCTGATTACGTAACTCGCGTTACTTGTAATGCGTTACCTCCAACACTGTGAATGACGTTGTCAAAACAATGCCACAATTAATGCACAATACAATCAAAGCTAAAGGTGCACAGGACTCTGGAATATGTTCATGGTTACGTCTTCTGACACGGTTGTTTGAGAAATGAAAAGCTACACACTGCATCATTTAGGGTTAAAAGAACTGTTGCCAAACTCACAGCATGCCAGAAACATATTAATCACTGCAATAACAATCCAGTCCTAGACTCGTCTGTATTTGTATGCACCAGCCACTATAAAATTAGCTTAAGAAACGTCAGAAACTAACAATTGAAATACACTTTCTTTAATGTAAACAGGTTGTCCTGCTCAAGACATGTCACCCAGACCCAAACCCAGGCAGAGGACAGTATATATGTGTGACTTTGGTCAGTTAGAAGAGAAAACATCAGCAGAGACCCCTGCCTACAGCAGAACAGCCACGTCTTCTATGTCTATAGCCCTCTCTTCTGAGAAGAGTCAAACCTCTGCCAGTGATAGTGTTCTGGTGAGAACGGCTTGATAATGGAAATAAAAAAGTGTCAGCAGAAACCCATTTAAATGCTGTAAATGCTAAAGCTTAGAGATGTTAAATTTTTCAATTGCAAGTATGAATTTAGTGGACCCATTTGTATGCTTTTTACATTTATTAAGGTTTTAACATCCATGGAAACTTTCCATTGCACAAAATATTCTAAAATGTGACCCTGGAGCACAAAACCAGTCATAAGGGTCAGTTTTTCGAAATTGAGATTTATGCATCAGCTGAAAGCTGAATAAATAATCTTTCCATTGATCTATGGTTTGTTAGGATAGGACAATATTTGGCTGAGATACAACTATTTGAAAATCTGGAATCTGAGGGTGCAAAAAAATCTAAATATTGAGAAAATCATCTTTAAAGTTGTTCAAATGAAGTTCTTAGCAATGCATATTACGAATCAAAAATTAAGTTTTGATATATTTACGGTAGGGAATTTACTAAATATCTTCATGGAACATGATCTTTACTTAATATCCTAATGATTTTTGGCATAAAAGAAAAATCTATAATTTTGACCCATAAAATGTATTGTTGGCTATTGCTACAAATATACCCCAGCGACTTAACACTGCTTTTGTGCTGCAGGCTCACAAATATTCTTCAAACTAAGAAAAAATCGTTCTTTGAGGAGCCCAAAATGATTTACAGTGTCTATGGCGTTGCTGCGAAACCCCTTTTGAAACCTTTGTTTTTAAGAGTGTAGAATCTGTTGTTATTGTCTAGTGCTAGTTAATATCTCACAAGCTGATCAGGGCTAAATCAAGGCGATGATTTGAAAGGCCCTTGTTTTGTTTTTCGACCACATGATTACTGCAGGATCCAGAAGAAGACCAGGCCATGTCAGAGTTTTGTTCACCAGCAGAGATAATGTCTGAGGATCCAGCCACTGTAGGCAGCGGTATGTGCGGAAACCATGCTCAGAGACTCTGTAGTAATGACATTGCATTTTGGTAAATTGGTATTGGTCATCTGTGACCTGACATCTAATAATTTAAAGTAAATTATAGTTAAGTACTGTAGTTATTAATCATTTTAAATATGCAATTTTCATTGCAGCTGCCTCAGAAGAGAGCAAAGAGAGAAATTATTCAACATCCTTTGAAGAAAAGCATGCAAGTCAGGTGAAAAGATCTTGTTCTGATGGTTTTCTAAAAAAAATGGCATCTGTTTCAGCATTGTATGACATGTTACTAAAGGAAGCAGTACCCAACAAATCAAGGTCATTTACGTGCCATGTCAAATTGTAAATGCTACTGTAATTCTTAAGTAAATCTGTCTTCACGCACTTTTCCAATCAGGAGAGTTTGCAGGGTGCCCTTGACCTTGAAAAATCAGCAGACAGGTCAGTGAATTTGTTTAATACCTCATGCTGTATATGCACGATAGACTTCTGAAATCTTATTTTAAAGGTGTAAAATCATGTCATATTTACACAGCATTTTGAAGATGATTTTACAGCATAATTGAAAGAAAACTCCGCAAAAAAAAAAAAAAAAAAAATAATAATTGTTTACTCATCATGTCATTCCAAAACCCTTATGACTTTCATTCATCTAATACTACAATATTTACACTACCGCTCAAAAGTTTGGGATCAGAATCATTTTTAATGTTTTTACAGGAGTTTCTTCTGCTCATCAAGGCTGCATTTATTTGATCAAAAATACAGGAAAAATTTAATATTGTGAAATATTATTATGATGCAAAATAATTGTTTTTTATGTTAATATCTGTTAAACTGTAATTTATTTCTGTGATGCGCAGCTGTATTTTCAGCATCATTACTCCAGTCTTCAGTGTCACATGATCTTCAGAAATCATTCTAATATGCTGATTTATTATCAATGTTGGAAACTGTTGCGCTGCTTAAAATAGTTTTGGAACCTGTGATACTTTTTTAAGGATTCTTTGATGAATAAAAAGTTAAAAAGAAGAGCATTTATTTAAAATAGAAATCTTTTCTAACAATATACACTAGCGTTCAAAAGTTTGGGGTCGGTACATTTTTATTCTTTCTTTTTTTTGAAAGAAATTAAAACTTTTATTCGGCGTGGATGTGTTAAATTGATAAGAAGTGATAGCAAAGATTTATATTGTTAGAAAATATTTATATTTTGAATAAATGCTGTTCTTTTTAACTTTTTATTCATCAAAGAATCCTGAAAAAAGTATCACAGGCTCCAAAAAAAATTATTATCCAACATTGATAATTCTAATAATAAATCAGCATATTAAAATGATTTCTGAAGATCATGTGGCACTTTATACTGGAGTAATGATGATGGAAATTCAGCTTTGCATCACAGAAATAAATTATATTTTAAAGGATATTATTGAAAAAAAAATGTAATCGCTGCTTAGCACTATTAAATCTAATTTATTCCTGTGATGCAAAGCTGAATTTTCAGCATCATTACTCCAGTCTTCAGTGTCACATGATCTTCAGAAATCATTCTAATATGCTGATTTATTATCAATGTTGGAAACTGTTGCGCTGCTTAATATTTTTTTGGAACCTGTGATACTTTTTTCAGGATTCTTTGATGAATAAAATGTTAAAAATAAGAGCATTTATTTAAAATAGAAATCTTTTCTAACAATATACACTAGCGTTCAAAAGTTTGGGGTCGGTACATTTTTATTCTTTCTTTTTTTTGAAAGAAATTAAAACTTTTATTCGGCGTGGATGTGTTAAATTGATAAGAAGTGATAGCAAAGATTTATATTGTTAGAAAATATTTATATTTTGAATAAATGCTGTTCTTTTTAACTTTTTATTCATCAAAGAATCCTGAAAAAAGTATCACAGGCTCCAAAAAAAATTATTATCCAACATTGATAATTCTAATAATAAATCAGCATATTAAAATGATTTCTGAAGATCATGTGGCACTTTATACTGGAGTAATGATGATGGAAATTCAGCTTTGCATCACAGAAATAAATTATATTTTAAAGGATATTAAAATAGAAACCATTATTTTATATTGTAATAACATTTTGCAAGATTACAGTTTTTTTCCGTATTTTTGATCAAATAAATGCAGCCTTGATGAGCAGAAGAGACTTCTTTAAAAAACATTACAAGTCTTACCGATCACAAACTTTTGACCGGCAGTGTATATTATAATTTACATTACAAGTCAAACGATTATCTCAACAAGTTTATGCATTCCTAAACACTTCTTTTAATTATTTCTCAAGCTATTTTTTTTATCTTGCCTCCTTGGAGGTACATATTAATCATATAATAAAATAGTTTTCACTTGGTCACACACTGATATGCATGTTCATCATTTTAATCAAGTCATTTTTTTATGCTTTAATGAGTAAAACATTTAATGCACTTTTAACTCAGAAGCATGCACCGAACATTGAAACTCATCGATACAGAACAACATCTTCTGGACATTAGACCTTCAAGCTCTCGGTCATCCAGTTCCAGAAAACACAAGAGCTCTTATAAAGCAGAGTCGAAATACCTGGGAGCGCTGAAGATTTTGGACCAGAGGACAGAGGAGAGCCAACAGGTTCCAGAAGCAGCAGATTCACTAAGAGCTGCTGTGTACCAGGTGTCTAGAGACTCGCCAATGATTTTTAGACCCTTTTAATGCATCTAAAATGTGTTCGAATAATTTTTTTCTTTCTTAAAAGGAATGGCTAAAAAAGAAAGAAGGAACTTTAAAAATAACAAGGAGCGCAAAAAAGCAGGAAGAGAAATTAAAAGAGGAGAAAGTGCAAGAAGTAATGTTTAATGCACATTTGAATTCTTTAGTCACCACAATCCTGGTATGATTTATTAAATGTTTGTCATTTCCCTTCTAGGACAAGCTTGCTAAAATTGCAGATGCAAAGGCCTCTTATGATGCCTGGAAAGAGAAAAAAAGTGAAGTCATTAGAATGAAAGTCAAAGAAAAACAGGAGGCAATAAAGCAACAACAAATGGAAATGGATAAAAAGCAAGAAAAAAAGGAAACGGCAAAACAGGTAATTATTCAAATGTAGTTTATTGGCAAGAAAAAAAACAAATGGCAACTGGTCAAATTTTTTCGTTGGTTATTATAACATTGTGTTTATTAGAAATATAGTAAATACTTTATTAAAAAGGCATTAGGCATTTGTTCAGGATTTATCCACTACAGGTGCACAACATTAAAACTATATTTGAAGAGTTCATTTGCAAAACAGATAACTCCGTTTTTAACAATTCTCAGAAATCATGTTTTTTCATTGTGCATTCCAATTAATCTCAATCAAACTGCAGTTGGGTTATTTTGACTAGGTTAAAAAATAACTTTAAATAAAAACAGCCAACTAACACAATAAAAACATGATAACATAATAAAAAACATGATTTTTGGAAATGTAAAAAAACAGAGTTATCTGATTTTGCAAATAAACTCTTCATTTTCAAACAGACATTCTATTTTTTTTTCTTAAAAAAAAGGATATAAAAAGAAGATCGTTAAGCATTTCCAGAAAGACAAAAAGTTGTCTGAAAAATACACACACTCCAGTGCCAAGGCCACATAAATCTATCCGATCAGAGCTGTCAGAATACACTGATGGTTTGAGAAAAACAAAGAAACCACTTAAACCCACACGGTAAAAAAAATTCCGTAAAATTTACGGTAAAAAAAAACGGCAGCTGTGGTTGCCGGTATTTTACCGTAAAAAATACGGTAGCAACGTTTTAGGTTTTACGGTTTTAACTTAAATTTACAGTTAAATACCGTAATTTCATTAACTGATATAATGTTAATATACCAACCTATTG